CTAAATCCACTCTTATGCAAAGGAATTATAAATGACTTTTTCCATATGGATGGAAATAAGCCTTGCATAAGAGATGAATTAAATAGTTTTGTTAGGGGTTGGTATATATATTTGGCACATTTCTTAAGAAAGCACGAGGGAATCATATCTGGACCATAATTGTATGATTGTTCTAATACATAAATAAGATTGGTTTTTTGATCAATTAAGTTTTATGGCAGCAGATCAGAACAGTTTCTTCGGAGATTGCAGTGTTACCTTGGACAGGAATTCAAGCAAAATTTTGTGAAGATATCTCCTTAAATTAAAAAGTTTCCCATACAAGGGCATTTATTTAATCAACTATATGCTATTGTAGTTTGATATTGGCGATTTCGACAAGCTAGGCTGCTTTTTGAAAAGAAAATGACGTGAGCAAAATTTTAGATCGATATCTCAAAAATTTAGTGACTAATTCACACATATACAGACAGACACGTAACGCCGATCACTTACATATATATCATATATTTTTTTTAAGGGTACATTGCCTTCTATGTGTTACAAATTTCGTGGCAAACTTAATATACCCTGTTAAGAGAATAAATATCAAAATTATTATGATTCGTGTGCACCATAGATTGCTCCTTTACATATTTTGTAAACTATTTTGAATTCTATTTTAGTAGCTAAATGTTTTATTATTGAACATTTTAGGTGATGGAAACATCGGCATTCGACCGATTCTACCCAAATGAAACGTCATCGGTCTTCTCACACTTCAGCGGCATTGAATGCTTCAAGATGCCACAAATACCAGTGGGCAAACGTTCCTTCGAATGCAGCGTTGTCTCTATTGTTACGCCGACAATTGTACACATACTACCACATCTCACCGAATTCGAATATCGTGAACTGGAACTTCAGAGACGCATAAAACATTTGGTTAAATCCGCGCCAATGCTCACCGAATACGAACCGCGCACCATTTGCCTATCACAATACCGGAAGGACAAGAAATGGTATCGCGCACTAATACGCTCACACAATCCCGTTGCCAAGCAAGTGGATGTGCTGTTCGTTGATTACTTGAACACGGCGACGGTGTCTATTACACAACTCAAACAATGTCCGCTCGAATTAATCAGTTGGCCATTGCGCACCATACGCGCCCGCCTCCACGGTCTGGTACCGAATCCGCGCCTGCGTGAAAAAGACATACGTCAAGCCTTGCAGAATATTGTACTCAAGCGCACATTGGTTGCGCGCATTGTTAAAGAGCCGAAGCGCCTTGACAACTCAACAGCCATAAGTATGATAGATTTCATGCGTCTGGATGACGTTGGTGATTTGAACTCGGCCACCGTTTCAGGTGCCATCACTGGTGCGGGCACCTATCAGCAGAACATTGATGATATCATGGAGGTGCATTTGTATGATCCCGATATTTATGCACGTAAACAGAGGGACGCTCGCATTTATCAACCGCTTATACAGGATAGTTTCTATTCTTATAAAAAAGTTTAGAAAAATATATGCAAACTTAAATTGCAGACTTAATTACATTTTACTCTCCCATGGGTATGGGGCATAAAGTTACCCATATATTGACGTTTATAAATGAATTCGCTTATCATTTCATTATTTTATACTATAAATTCTATTATTTTCTTCATTATTCATAATATTCGGTTTGTTGCACGGGAAATGGAAAGTGTGAATTATTAAACATTCCCAAAATATTTGTTATCTTTTATTCTCTCTGAATATGAGACACATTTGCATTTTTCACTGTATATTTATTTTTATTGACACAGAAATAAAAAAAAAAGTTTGAATATTTGACATTTGTGAAAACTGGTTTTTTTCGTGCTGACCATTGTACAATAGACATACATCGCTGAGGCTAAAAATCTTATTGTCGGCAGGTTTCTAGCAGAGTAGAATGTTTTTCAAAAGTATTGCGGTATTTTTATTGAATTTTCAATTGTTCATAAAAAATAAAATAAAAATAAAACTCATGCCCAGCTCTTGACCGATGATACGGCTGCTACTATGCCGGTCTCTTTCGACCACTTCAGCGATTTTATCGCAATTTTCGACGACAGGCCTTCCGGAGCGTGGCGCATTTTCGACCACCTCTACACCGGAACGAAAACGTTGAAGCCATCGTTGTGCGGTGGAAATGGAAACTGTATCGGGTCCATAAACTGCACAAATTTTATTGGCGGCTTGAGCTGCATTTTTGCCTTTATCGTAGTAGTACTGTAAAATATGCCGTATTTCCCTTTATTTTGCTCCATGTTTGCGAAGCTATAACTCACGAACGACTTAAAAGAAATGACAATCAATAAAACACGTGTTAGCGCGTGAAATGAGCTTTCCAAAAGGGTATAGCATGACCCGATGCGACGACTAGAACTACGCGCTCTCAGCGCCAACTAGCGAAAATACCGCAAGACTTTTTCGACAATCTAATATATTCGCGAGGCAACACGAGCTCTTTTTCTTCAATGGGTGCTGGTTTGACAGCTACTACTCTGTTCACTGGGAGAGAGTCGGTGAAGGTGTTAATGGCTCCACTGTAAATGACGTTGACTTCGCCAACTATTACATCCGTAGGTAAGTGGTATGCAGTGAAGTAGTCTACAGTTAATTCTGTGAAGCTAACAACAAAAGTACACACTCCACTTACCAAGATGATATTTGGATGCAAGTTTTCGATCGGTGAAAAAGCAGCCCTTGATCAAATAAGAAAGTTTTCCATAAAGGAACAGATACAATACACTTGTATATACTGAGCTCTGCCAAAAATCTAATGATTTGGCTATTGATCAACAGCAGCACTGACAGTTTCTATTGTAAATTTTTGCGACACTCCAAGTTTCAGTGGGTTATTCGACAGGTTGTTTTCCCCAACTATTGTAGTTCAATGGATTCCAACCTGGACTTCCAGACGGCCAATATCTGCAGCTATGAAACCATGAATACTGCTTTTAGACCACTTTTGAATAATTTTTGTTTTTTGCGCTGGAGTGAAATCTTGCGAGAAGATCCAATGCGCTCTATCGAAGAGAGTGTTGGTTACCTGGTTTACCACGCCTTCTAAAATATGTTGCTTTTACACTTTTGACCCAGTTTCAACCCCTTTTTCACGGAAGTGAAGAGATGTAACGCCGTTACAAAAGTATTTTTACGTATGAATAGACATTGCTGTGAAGGATGAAGTCATGTATAGAAGATCACGCAAGTGAGGAAAGTTCTCTGAGCGCCATCAACTTGACAGTGGCCAGAAATGATTTTTTTTACATATTTCTCAAGCAGCTCATAGCTTCCGGTTTTTGGGCAGGTATCCTCTGGGTAGCCTAAGAACATCCGTTTGAAGGCGATCTAAAGTGAGAAGGCGAATCATTCCCTCCCGTAAAAAAACACCGATGAAAACCTCTGATGAGTTAGTGTTACGAGTTTTTGTGAAAAAGGTTCTGTGGTCCTTTGTGCATCGGCAACGGCGAATACCGCAGTCGATGGAAAGATGATCAGTACGAGATATACGACGACAGTACATCGAATTAAGAGACAGCGCTACGCTGCCTAAGTGATGTCATCCAAATGAATGAAAACACATTCCAGCTGGGAGAGTATTTGACGCAGTTCTCGTCGGGGAAAGCAGAGGAAGATGAAGACCGCCACTCCGTTGGAAAGACCAGATGGAGAAGGACCTGGCTACCCATGGAATCTCCAATTGATGCCAAACAGTGAAAAGGAAGAACGACTGGCACAATATTGTAAACTCGGCTATAATCGCGTAAGCGGTGTCTACGACAATAAAGACGACACTCTTTTTCCTTTGGTCCGGCCCCGTCGAAACAGCACGTTTCCTGGGACTGCCTTTGGATGACGTCGATGAAAACGTATTTAATTCTTACCATCCTAACGGGGATTAGGTACCCGTAACAACAACTATGAAGAAGTAAATATGTATGAATCATTAAAAATAACGGCACTTTAGCGGTGTATTTGTTGTTGTTGTGGTAGCGGCAGAAATCATTCCTGAAATAATTGGACACATGGTGCCGAGTTGACAGTTCTTGGCCGAATAAATATCCGGGTCCGTTCCGGTTACTTAGATCCGACTGTCGGGCCTGCGTATTTGTTTTCTGTTAGCGTTGTAAACTTTGTAACGGAATTAATCGCAAAACTAAGACAAAACGACGTGCTTTATAGGGTGTCCAACGTTTTCTCCGGAGTGTTACAAATTGTGGGGCACACTTCAGTTTATAAAAAAAAATATGTATATCCGTATCAATCCACAAGTTGTAGCCCCAATTGGCTTAGATGAGATTCGATTGTTTAATACGTCTTTTGTTATTGTAAATAAAATAAATTGCATTTTATTTTGCTTGATGTTTTGTTTATCTTTACATAATCACTTGCTTGACATGCACACATATTAGCAATATAAATACATACATATACATATAGTTAATTGGCGTCTTTAGAACTTAGTAAACAAATCTACAATGCAATGCTATGCAATGTGCTATCTAAACGAATTGACATTTCTAATTTAATCCCAATTCGATTTGAATTAATTATTGCAAATATTTATATGTGTTTGTTCTGTATTGCTTCGAGACTAGTCCACGTGTGTACTAAATGTAATAATTAATACTTATTAGCTTAGTATGTTTGTATGTATGTATGTGTATGTGTGTGTATTCGTCAATAGCAAATCAAACATTTGAAATCTTACAAAAATTGAAAACGATATGCTACATTATAGTTGCTATTATTATCGATAATAACACATTCGCATGACAATACAATGCAGTGCGGCGCAGAATTAAATAGGTTAAAATAAATTACGGACAAAAACATAGTAAATACATGTAATATTTGTATATATATTTTTATATAAATATTAGCTGTGACAATATACAATACTTAATACTCTCTTAATCGGCTATAATTATGCTGGATTTAACGCAATAATAAGAAAGGGTGCATAATTTAACAAATCTGGAGAAGGCTTAATTCTCCTGGCGCCACATGTGGCATAGTTACATAATTTATATTTTATTGTTAATAGTATTACTACACACGAACTCACTTTAATTGCCACAATCGGGCCTAAAGGCGTATTCGTTTTTAGTTTTCGTTTTAGTCTTCATTTATTTATTAGACGAAACAAATGTTTAGTTTTAAACTTCGTAATTGGCGCTAATGCCGTTGCCATCTTAACCAATATCACTTTTCTTGTTTTTCTATTTGTTTTCTTTTAATCAATAACTATAAAATTCAGCGTTAAGTATGTAAGTAAGCTTAGTCTGCGATTGCTGTGTAAGGTAAGCTGCTGTGTTTCGGCTTTGTTTTATTGATAAACACTTTAATGGCACCGTTGAAGTCGGCGCTCACCATTACATAGCCACAACCTTTTTTATGCTGTTCCACAAGCGGATCCGGCTGATGGTTTTGCATCTGAAAGTGAGGTTATAATGTAGCAAATAATGCATTAAAAATAATTGAATTAACATTGCAATCAATTTTATTTTATTTTGTTATCACAAAAATCTGAAATACAAATAATTTTAAAATTTTTTGAAAGAAAAAAAATGTTTATCTCAAAAACCGGATTAAATATTTATTTTACCGGATTTAAGAAAAATTTAATTCCAGAGTTATAATTAAAAATTTAAAAAATAAGTTTTGGTACACAAAATCTTTCTATCTTTGCGTTTGGTTATCTTTTAAAAACGAAAGCTTATCTTTAAGAAGTATGTACGTCTTCGCTTTTTTATCCCTTTTAATTCTAACTTTTAATTTGAAAAATAATTTAATA